GCCACCAGAAGTGGTAACTGTATGGATAAATATGTGACTTTTTCCTTATTACTTAAATCTCTTTAAAATATAACCGTTTAAACAAAAAACAGCATTGTAAGGTTTCTTACACATGCATAAATAAAATACATGGTAATAATAGCATGAAGGTCAAGGGGGGAGAAATGGAAGTGTACTTATACTTGTGCCAAGTGGGTTAATATCACCTGAAGGTAGACTGTAATTAGCTAAATATACACATTGTAAACTCTAAAGCAACCATCAAAATAACAAAATAAGAGGTATAGCTAATAAGTCAAGAATGGAGATAAAATGGAATAATAAAAAAATACTCAATCCAAAAGAAAGCAATAAAAGAGGGAAAAGGGAATAAGGGACAAATGAGAAAAACAGAAAAAATAGTGAGATGATAGACTTAAGCCTATGCTGGATTAGAGTTTGAAAATCAATGAATATAATTCACCAAGTTTTTAAAGTATTTTTTTTAAGGCAGCAATTAGAGGAAAATGATCCTCTTTATTTTTTTTTTTTGAATTTTATTTTATTTATTTTTTTATACAGCAGGTTCTTATTAGTTATCCATTTTATACATATTAGTGTATATATGTCAAAGTTTTTTTTTTAACAAACTAAAAAAGGAAAAGCACATGACCATTTCAGTAGACACAGGAGGGGAATTTAACAAAAATCAACATCAATTTCTAACAAAAAACTGATAAAACCTTTCAACAAGCTAGCAATAGAAGGGAACTAGGAATAGAAGGGAATCTATGAAAAACCTTCAGCTAATATCATACTTGACAGTGAAAGGCTTACTATCTTTTGAGATCAAGAATGTCCATTTTCACCACTTCTACTCATTGTTCTACTGGAGGTTCAGTGGAACAAGGCAAGGAAAAGAAATAAAAGGTCTCCAGATTGGGGGCTTCCCTGGTGGCGCAGCGGTTGAGAGTCTGCCTGCCGATGCAGGGGACACGGGTTCGTGCCCCAGTCCGGGAGGATCCCACATGCCGCAGAGCGGCTGGGCCCGTGAGCCACGGCCGCTGAGCCTGAGCGTCCGGAGCCTGTGCTCCGCAACGGGAGAGGCCACAACAGTGAGAGGCCCGCGTACCGCAAAAAAAAAAAAAGGTCTCCAGATTGGAAAGGAAGAAGTAAAACTGTCTTTATTCACAGACAGCATGATCATCAATGTAGGAAATCTGACGGAATCTACAAAAAAGCTACTAGAACTAGTAAGTGAGTTTAGCAAGGTTTCAGGATAGAAGATTGATATCCAAAAACATAATTGTATTTCTATACACTAGCAACAAACAATCAGAAATTGAAAGAAAAATACCATTTAAAATAGCATAAAATATGCAATACCTAGGGATACGCCACAAAAATTCACACATTATTGATTACCAGAAATTCAGTCACATATCTCTATAAATTCTCCTAGTGTGGTAACATGAGTCAGATTAAGATATCTTGGTTTTCCCTCCAGTTCGTAGCCCAGACAAAATGTGAGCTTAAGAGGCCTCTCTCATGCTTATTGTCTCCTGGGTCCCACTGGGTTGCAACTACCTGGCTTTATAACTCAGAGTTAGTAGAAAGAGGGATGAGAGTAGTATTTTTTCCCAGGTTGGAGGAAATCCTGGACCACATTTCATCACTAGCCCCATGGAAGAAGAATACAATAAAAGATGAAAATCTAAATGGTAAAGAAATCAAAAGGGGACAGGGAAAAGATCTCTTCAAACCACCTTACTTATGAAAGTATAAAAGTCCTATTCATAGTAGGGGTAATTTTTCCACCACATTCCTTTACATGCTTCTTCCTTATGGGTGAAGGAAGGTGGGAAATTTTGCAACCTAGAGGTTATGCTCCAGGTACAATCACCCACTGCTTGGACCCTTTCTTTAAAAATGAATAAAGTGGCCATTATAAAAAAAAAAATTGCAGTACCTAGGGATAAATCAGACAAGAGACATGTAAGACCTATACACTGAAAATTGCAAACTACAGGTGAGAGAAAGGAGCCCCAGTTAACTGGGGAGACACACCTTGTTTATGAGTCAGGAGACAATACTGTTAAGATTCAAGTTGATCTATAGACTCAATGCAATCCGGATCAAAATCCCAGTGGCATTAAAAAAAAAAAATCCATGCTTGGATTTTAAATTTAGGGGACCTAGAATAGCCAATACAACTTAGAAAAAAAAAGAACAAAGCTGGAGGGCTAACATTACCTGATTTTCAGACTTATTATAAAGCTACAATAATCATGACAGTATGGTATGGCATCAAGGTAAACAAATAGATCAATGCAACTAAGTCCAGAAATGGACCCACACATATATGACAAGTTATTTTTCACCAGGCTGAAAAGGTAATTCAATGGATAAAGGACAGTTTTTTTTTTAAATAAGTAATACTGAAATCACGGGCTATCCATATGCAGAAAAATGAACTTGAAGCCATACTTCCCACCGTACACAAAAATGAACTCAACATAAATCATAGACCTAAATGTAACACCTAAAACCTATAAAATGTTTAGAAGAACGGATAGGAGGAAAAAAGTCTTGGTGACTTTGGGTCAGGCTAAGATTTCTTAGATACAGCATGATCTATGAAGAACACATTAGTAAACTAGGCTTTATCCAAATGAAAAAGTCAGCTCTTTGAAAGGACACTATTGGGAGAATGAGAAGTCAGACCAATTAGAAGCAAATACCTGCAAAGCAGGGGTCTGATAAAGGACTTGTATCAAGAATATATAAAGAACTCCCCAAACTCAACAATAAGAAAACAAACCACCCAAAAAATATAGGCAAAGATTTGAACAGACACTTCACCAAAGGAAATTTTGGAACGTCAAACAACCACATGAAAGGTGTTCAACATCATTTGTCATCAGGGAAATGCAATGGAAACCACGACCAAATACCATTTCATACCTGTTAGAATGGTTAAAATTATAAAGACCGAGAACACCAAGTGTTGGTGAGAATATAGAACTGTGATCCTCACACCTGGCTGGTGGGAATGTGAAATGCTGCAATCACTTTGGAAGACAGTTTGGCATTTACTTAAAAAGTTGAACATACACTGTCCATAGGATCCAGCCATTTCATTCTTGGTATTTTACCCAAGAGAAAAGCAACCAGGTGCCTATACAAAGACTTGGACACAAATGCTCAAAGCAGCTTTATTTGTAATAGCCCCAAACTGGACACAACCCAGATGTCCTTCAAGGACTAAATGGATAAACAAACTATGGTGCATTCATAGCATGGAATACTACTCAGTAATAAAAAGGATGAACTATGGATGAATACCACCACCTGGATGAATCTCAACAGAGCCTGCGTGAAAGAGGCTAAACTCCACCCCCCCCAAAAGAGTACATATGGCATGATTCTATTTATATAAAACTCTAGGAAAAACAAACCATTTTATAGTGACAGGAAGCAGATCAGTGCTTGACTGGGAAGAGGGGATTGGGAAAGGGTGGGAGGAAGAGGTTAAAGGGGCATCAGGAAGGTCTCGGGGGTGGTGAATATGTTCGGCATCTTGACAGTAGCGATGACGTTGTGGGTATAAACATATGTCAGAACGTTAGAGTGCACGCTCTAAATACATTAGCTCATTGTGTGAATTCTACTTTGATAAAGCTGATTAAAACAGCAAGTTTGCAAAAATTCAAGTCAGCAAATCACTGCATCATTCCTTAGAGCACAAATGGACTCTTTATCCACAGACAGATTCACCTGAAGACTGGTTTGTATGTTTCCACGTAAAATGAGGCTCATTTTATAAAGACGGCATGGCAAGAAAGCTGCCATATGTAGCCACTGTCCTTGTGGTTACAATACTCCGTAAGAGCATGAGACCAAGGCTGACTGCACTTTCTCGGTCCCCTCCTACGGAGAAACGCATCGAACACCCACAGAGACAGGACAGCCACTCCCTGGGGACCCTGTCATGCGTCAACCTGGGCCACAAGAAGAGGAGCCCTGATGGAAAGCCAGTGAGCGGGGCCCGCGCTGTCCTCCCCACATAGCCCCTGTGGTCTGCGATGAGCGGTTTCCAGGACAAAGCTCCCTGGCCAAGTCAAGCTCCATTTGGCCAACGCCCACTTCTGGGGCAAGCAAGGGTGGGCTTGCAGCAAAAACAATGCAAAAGCGAACACCAAACTAAATTTCCAGTGTTTGGCTCAGGAAGGCGTCAGACTCCTCCCACTTGACAGCGTTACTTCCATTTCTGATCTGAGAACACGCTTTGCCATCCTTGTCACCTGCAGCCCAAGACCGAGGAGCCCATGAGGAGAAGCCTGCTGGGACCCAGGCTTACAAATACACGGCGAACCTGCCTTTTCTAATTTCATTCACAACAAATATACATTATGTTTATAATAACTTTTCCCCCCAAAGTATAACTCTGAAAGTGAATCTACAAAGGAGATCAGCTGCAGGCAGAAGGAACCCAGGGACCCAGGGCTCAGGTCACACCTGTCCAGTCCCCCCATGGGGATCGGCATTGGGAACTGAGCCCCCTCCCCGAGAAGACCAGGCCACAGAGGGAAGTCAGACCACCCTGGACCAGTGAGCCTGAGGTGCCCTTGGTTCAGAAGGCTGTGCAGTTCAGGGGTGCACACCTGGGCCCTGAGTACCTGGGGCGGGGGAGGGGAGGGCAGGGACCAGGAAGGAATCAGCACGGCTTCCCTGGCCGCTTGGAGCTGCTAAACAGTGTCACCTTTAAACAAACTCCTGTCCCCTCATTTCCCTGCTGGCTCCTCTGGCTCCCCAGGCCTGCCTTCCCAGGCATTTTGGACAGGCCCATTGGGGGGATGAGCTAAATAAGCCACCCCCGCTTCAGCCTCCACAAATCCCCTCCCTCCAGCGTATAGGAAACCCAGAACCCCCCAGCAGCCATTGTCAGCAGCTCCCAAGATGTTCAACATGGGCATATCTGTCAAAAACTATTCAGGAAAAACAAGAGAAAGTCTTTATACCTTTTATTCAGCCAATTTTTCCCGAGGCACTGTGGGCTGTCTAAGAAAAAAAAGAGAGAGAGAGAAAGGGGAGAGGATTAGAATTATTGTCGTCATTGCACATCTGGTTGCTGGCTGCGATTTGCTCATTGACTAGCCAAGTCTGGAAGAAGAGGCGTTATCTCCCTGGGAGGCCGAGGAAACCTGCCCACGTTAAACTGCACGGCCAGTGTGGCTGGGAGTCTACGTCTGATTTAACAGGCAAAGACAAAGGGAAACAGAACACCATGGTCCTGTCATCCAGATTTTCCAAACTCATTTTCCCTGCCACTCTGGGGTATTCCTTTGTGTTTTTTTTCTCTGTCTTCCCTTTGCCCCAAACTCTGATCTGCCCCCTCTTCTTCTTCCTTACCCCCACCTGGTTTTGAGGTTATCCTCATATGGGGACTTTGTGAATTGTGGATGTGGTGTTTAATCCCAAACTGGGTTCCCCTGCTACCTGCACTGGTTTGTCCCCACCTCCCCAGGTGTCTCTCTGTATGGGGTCATGGTGCTCACATCTATTTTAATATTCGTCAAAGGATAACACAGGGTGGGACTTCCCTGGTGGCGCAGTGGTTAAGAAGCCGCCTGCCAACGCAGGGATCACAGGTTCAAGCCCTGGTCTGGGAAGATCTCACATGCCGCGAAGCAACTAAGCCTGTGCGCCACAACTACTGAGCCTGAGCTCTAGAGCCCACGAGCCACACCTACTGAGCCCACGTGCCATAACTACTGAAGCCCACGCGCCTAGAGCCTGTGCTCTGCAACAAGAGAAGCCACCGCAACGAGAAGCTCGCGCACTGCAACGAAAAATAGCCCCCGCTCACCGCAACTAGAGAAAGCCTGTGCGCAGCAACGAAGACCCAACACAGCCAAAAATAAATAAATAAATAAAATAAAAATTTAAAAAGAAAAAAAAGGATAACACAGGGAAAAGTGGAAGGGCTGCTATTGCTTAAAGAGAAGCAAGAGAGTTCTAAATCTCACAAATACATGATTTCAGAAGCCACTGTTGTGTGTTGTTTGGAATTAGGTGCAGCTTCCAGGAGCTTCCATTGGCAGGAGCAGCTCAGAGCTAGTGCCAGACTAGCAGGGGCCAGGCGTTAACTCCTTTTATAATCCAGGAACCTGGGGCCAGAGAGATCAAGGTACTTGCCTAGAGTCACAAAGCTGATTCCTGGGGGCCTGAGGACTGCACACACGTGTCTGGACTCCTAATCCTGCCCTTTTCTCATTGGGCACTTCAGAGATTAGAAATGAGGGTGTGCGTATGTGTGTGTGTGTGTGTGTGTGTGTGTGTGCTTTTTCTGGACTTAAATTTTCCTTATTTTCGTAGTGTTTCATAATTTTATAGGTACATATCTTACACATCCATTTTTATTGTGGTAAAATACACATAACATAAAATTTACCATTTTAGCCATTTTAAAGTGAACAGTTCAGTGGTATTAAGTACATTCACATTGTTGTGCAAACACCACCGTATCTGGTTCTAGAACTTTTTCATCACCCCAAAAGGAAACCAGGTACCCATTAAGGAGTCACTCCCCATCGCCCTCTCTCCACTGTGTGTGTATTTCTTTTTTTAAACTTAGCATAAACAGGATAAAAACAAGTGAAAAGCTTCTAAAATCAAAAGGCAGTCAGACTGGACCTCTTTTTTAAGATGTAGAAAATCACCATCATTACCATCATCAATATCACCAGGGAGAGCAGGTAGATGCTGTCACTTATTTTGCACATTTTATGTGCCAGGTGCAGGCACTACTCTTATCATCCCCATTTTTCAGATGAAAAAACTGAGGTGCACTTTGGTTAAGCAACTGCACCACCAGTAACTGGGGCGACCGGGTTTCCCTGGCAGGTTCCCACTGTGCTGCACTCCCTCTCACCCACAAACGGAAAGAGGCACCCTTCTCCGTGGGAAACGAGGATTAAAAGTGGAAAGAGAACATTTAATGCGTGGAGCCTGCTTGGCCTGTGTTAGAGTTTGTGCAAATCACGCAGGCGGTATTTCATGGGAAATCACACCCCCAACCCCCAACCACAGCAGGGAGGGCCGTGGGCCAAGGTGTGGCTGAACTTGAACCACACAAGGAGAGGCCATCACGGAGGTGGCCCCCCTATAGCCTCTGTTTGTTGCCCGGCATCTCCCCCCACCCTGCCCAGCCAAATGGCAAAAGCAAGTACTTCTGGCACATGTGTACACGCAGCTCACAAAGTGACTCGATACGATTGGAAGGCACCGTCGAATGAAGGCGTCATTACAAAACGAGATGGATCGAATTGATCAGCTTTCCTCAACCGCTGCCTTCAGTTGATTTGGGGGATTTTCTTATTGTTGTCTTTTTTCTTGTTTTTTTTTTCTTAAAGTGAGTTTTCCTCCCAGTGCAATTCAATTTAGTTCCATTTAATTCAATCCATCCAGCCCCAGTGTGCAAACACACACACTGGCTGGAGCACAGGTCTGGGCCAAGTGTGTGGGCGTTGGATGCGAGGAGTCTGCTCTGCTGGGCAGGTGGCTGCAGGGCCAGAGAACGCGGGCTAGTCCGGGATTGGGGATGGGGCACTTCCTTCCTCCCTGTCCTTGTCTTTCCTCCACCGAAACAACTCCCAAGATCCCTCTCCTTTACCCACTGTGTCCAACCCACAGATTTCCTCTAAGCACCAGGGAAGCTTCTGGCCCTGAATTCCCCATCTTTGGGCGACATCAGCACAGACCAGGGCTGGCAAGGCATCCCCACCCCCACCCAGTCTCCACTGGTCCTAAGGTCCTGAGTCACTCCTTGAGTTCTCCTAAATGTTTCCCATGGTTACAAGTGTCCTTATTTGGTCAAAGCCAAATATTTGGTACCTATGCCATTTGAGCCCAGGGGTTACACCGACTTAGTCCACGTCAGGAGTCTCAGAGGCTGGGACCCATGTCCATCTCCAAAGAACCTCCACGTTTTGAAAGACCCTGAACCAGAGGGGTGGTCGGGAGGACGTGCTGAGCCTGATGCCTTTACCATCGGTGGCACGTGACGGTCCAGCCTATTTTCCTGGTGCTTCAGGCTGAGCCTCCCTGCCTCTTCCCTTTCCTCTGTCGGGGTACAGAATCTCCAGGGTAATGAAATTTTCACCTGTGCCTCCCTGGAGGCTCTTGCTACTTGGAAAGGAAGTGGGGCCCGTGTAGACCTGCTTCCTCTGTGGTCTGGCTCTCCTCCTGGCGTGAGCCAGACGGGGATGGGCCGACTCCGATGGGGCTTGTCTTGCATTCTGAGACAAACACTGGCTTCTCCCTTCCTCTTCCACATCCCCGGCATTTCCCATCTTCCCACCCTCTGCCCTCTACTCTCTCACCTCACCCACTCTGTCCCACCACCCCATCTGGGAGAGGAGGGAGGGAGGAGCCTGGGGCTCACCCTGCTGCCTGGGCCTTGCTGACAACATCCACCCGTGTGCGTGCTGGTGGGCTGGGAAACGTGCAGCTGACTCTCAGCCTCACAGTTAGCAAACACGGCTCTCAGCCACTCAGCGGGATAATCAATTATGGAGATTTTTGCCTCCGTGATCAGGTACGTGGAGGAGCACAGCTCATCAGACCAGAGGCGCTGAGTTCCCGAGCACACCCGTGGAAAACCCTTCCACAAAGTCCAAACAGAGCAAGACACATTTACCAAGCTCAGAGGGTCTCCACCCAGCCCAACTCCCACTGCAACAGCCTCTGCACGAAGTCTGCTGAGCTAGAAACTGCAGACTTCCCAGGGGAGACTTGGTGGGCAAGGAGTTACCCAGAGGGGAGCTGCTCTGCGTTTGCTGGGGTGGGACGTCCCCACCATCTGGCACTCGCCCACTGGACTGTGACCCCCACCCCCACCTCACAGAGGCCACATCTCACCGGCCCTGAGGCCCCAGAGCCTGGTGCAGGGCCAACGCGGACGGAGGCAGTGGATGTTTGGTGGACACATGAACGAATGAACCACCCGGCAAGCATTTGTCACGAGGGCTCGGGACCAGATGACCATTTTGAGAAGCGGGACTGGGGGGTCCCATCATGGATGGACACTCACCCCCACGGGGACCATTCCTCACCGTCTCCCTGCTCAGTTCTCCTTCACCACAGACTTCACCAGCTCACAGCTTAACCTGCTGCCCTCACCCCATCCCCCTCTGATGCCGAGTTCCTCTTGGGCTTTTCTCTGCAATTCTCCTCAAGGGCATTAGTATCTGCCTTTATTCAACCACATCCAAATGACGGAGGTCACCCCCTCTAACCTGTGCTCTCTTCTGTCCTAAACCACTGGATTTTCCAGAAATTAAACCTCAACTTGCTTGTATCACCCTTGGGATAAAAGAACACGCATCCTGCACCCCTATGTTCATAACAGCCCTATTTACAATGTCCAAGACATGGAACCATACTAAATGCCCATCGACAGGCGAATGGATAAAGAAGTTGTGGTACATATATACAATGGAATATTACTAGGCCATGAAAAGGAATGAAATTGAGTCATTTGTTGAGACGTGGATGGATCTAGAGACTGTCATACAGAGTGAAGTAAGTCAGAAAGAGAAAAACAAATATCATATGTTAACGCATGTATGTGGAACCTAGGAAAATGGTACAGATGAACCAGGTTGTGGGGCAGTAGTTGAGACACAGATGTAGAGAACAAACGTATGGACAACAGGGGGGAAAGTCACGGGGGGGTGGGGATGGTGGTGTGCTGAATTGGGCAATTGGGATTGTATACACTGTATACATTGGGACACTGTATACATTGGGACATGTATACACTGATGTGTATAAAATTGATGACTAATAAGAACCTGATGTATAAAAAATTAAATAAAATTCAAAACATTAAAAAAAATCTTCTCAAAAAAAATGATGTGGTATATATATATTCAATACACACACACACACACACACACACACACACAAAATGGAATATTACTCAGCTATAAAAAAGAATGAAATAATGCCATTTGCAGCAACATGGATGGACCTAGAGATTATCCTACTAAGTGAAG